GGAAACTCTCCCTCAATTTCTCCGTTCCATTTGAGAAAGAGGGGACCCTCCTCCTCTCTACCGGGAGTAGTTCAGAGATCCACACTTGTGTGGAGAGAAGGGCAAAAGTGGGCAAGTGGGAATGGGACAGAAGGAAACTGGGAACCGGTTTTTTTCCCCGGTAGAAGACGTTTCTGTAGGTCGGACTTTAATTAAGATAACAAAAACAATGTACCCTCTTTTCCTTTCTTAAAGGCCGACCGACAAGCAGAGAAAAGGAAACTCTTCCTCAGTTCCTCCGTTCCATTTGAGAAAGAGGGAGACCCTCCTTCTCTCTAGCGGGAGTAGTTCAGAGATCCGCACTTGTGTGGAGAGAAGGGCAAAAGTGGGCAAGTGGGAATGGGACAGAAGGAAACTGGGAACCGGTTTTTTCCCCGGTAGAAGACGTTTCTGTAGGTCGGACTTTAATTAAGATAACAAAAACAATGTACCCTCTTTTCCTTTCTTAAAGGCCGACCAACAAGCAGAAAGAAGGAAACTCCCTCAGTTTCTGCATTTCATTTGAGAAAGAGGGAGACCGTCCTCTTTACCGGGAGTGGTTCAGAGATCCGCTCTTGTGTGGGGAGGAGGGAAAAGTGGGCGAGTGGGAATGGAGAGAAGGAAACTGGGAACCGGGCTTTTTCCCCGGTAGAAGACGATTCTGTAGGTCGGACTTTAAAGAAAACAATACGGGGAAAGAGGGTGTTGTCGAGCTTATTTTAATCTAAAATTATTTATGCAGATGTATATCTACTGTCGCTCTTTACTGCATAAAAGGATTGCATAGGTGGTCATTTTTACTCGTCAGAAGGCACTACTCGTCGCATGCTTAGGGGTTTGGAAGTGCAAAGCTATGTCTTTTCAAACTAAATAACTGTGCCATTGGTCAAAAAGAAAAAAAAAATCAACATAACAATAAATGCAAGAATAAAAAGCGGGATAAAAAAAAAAGAAAAACTATTAAGAACCTGTGGAAGTGTTGTATTCTTGCATATTCAGAGGCCCACAACTTTGAAACAAGTTTCTCCTGCCAAAATCTGTACATACTAAAATAAGCAAGTCCCAGGAACAAAAAATAAAAAAAGGCTTTTTTTAATGACGTGTTGATGTTGTACAATATTAGAAATTTCAGTTAATTTATTCCTCAACGTGAAAAAAACAACAAAAAACAATAAATACATTATTTAGTATTCTGCAGATGGCAATGATATGTACCGTTTGTGGTGTTAATTTAAATGCGATACCTCAAACAATTGAGACGAAAAAAATACCAAGTTTAGGGCATAATTGCCTGTAGATACATATTTTGACATTTCTTCGAACTTCATCTTGAGCAATAATCATATCTTAAAACGGCACTTACCCAGGCTATACATAGATCATTCTTAAAAAGTTTAACATCTCTATCATGAATGGCTTCGGCTATAGCGCGCTTCAAATATGGCAAAAACGACAATTGTCATAAACTCATCGTCCTTCCTCACTCCTTTGGAAATCTATTTCTTTAAAACTAAGCATGCCAGAACATTGAAATAGACGGCATTGCCTTTCGCAAGGAATGCAACATTGCATGTCAAAATGCGAGAGAAAAAAATTATGAATGTACTTCCCTGCTTGATTCCAAATGATACCTCCCGCCGGTTTTTTGAAGTTCGATGAACTTCGAACTTTTACCCTAAAAGTTAGAAGTTCATTGAACTTCTGACTTTTCAGGATTCAAATGTTCAAAATTTTTCTAATTCTTTAGATTAATAAGTTCGAAAGTTTGAAAATTGTCGAATTTCTTAGCGTAGGAAGTTCAAAAACTTCAAACTTTTTAGTGCAAAAAATTTGAAAGTTCAAAAATCATTCAAATGTTTTTACTCTATCAAGTTCAAAACTTCGACAAGCATCGAATTTTGCAGCGTAATAAATTCGAAAGTCAGAAAAAGGTCTAACTTTTTAGCGTAATAAGTTCGAAGGTTCGAAAAACATTGCATTTCTAAACGTGCAAAGTTCGAAATTTCGAAAAGCGTTCAACTTCTTAGTTTAGCAAGTTTGCAAATTCAATTTCAGTCGAACTTCTGGATATGGAAAGTTTGAAAATTCGAAATCTTTCGAACCGCTTGATTCGATCATCGAACCTTCAGTTCGAAAAAAGTTTGCAGCATCCCCAGTGATTACCGCTTGCTATCCATTGTTGCTTGAGATGTTGTGTGACCTACAACCAGGAACAAAGAAGAATGAACCCGAAAGCAGCTAGGTCACCTGACTGTTGACTCGGTTTGGGGAATAGGAGAGTAGCTCTGGGCCCACCAAGCTAACTTTTCCTCCACTCAGTTCCACCGTAACTTGGCAAATGGCGAAGGACACGGTCCAAGCGAGCCAATCTGCAGGTCGGAGGGGTGCGTGCAGCATGGGGTGTGTGCAGCATTGTCCAAGACATGGGCAAGAGAGAGACTGCTTTTGTACAAATTATGAGTGACAGGCTCTGGGGGAGCCATCTGGGACACAAACAATGATACGAGTCCTTCCTTTCCCTCTTCTCCAACTGACGCCACCTACGCTCTCGCCCCCCTACTTTTGGGAAGGCCCGTCGCGTGCCGTTTTATGGACGACTCTCACTACGAACGGTTTTTCTGGGGAATGAAGGTGTTCATATTTACGGGACATGACTGTACTACAAATAAGTGCCTAGCAGATTTTCAACTTCCTTGGTAGTTCCTCATCCAAGATTCTCTACTGCTGTGCTCCCAATAGTTTCCTGAGATTTTCAATCGCTTCAGCCACTTCCTTGGGATCCCGGAATCATACATCCAGCAGTGACCTTTCTGTTGCCATATTACGGCCAAGGCTGTTAATGTCTTTCACAATGAATGCTTCTTAAAATCATACAGATGAGTAGTCTTCACATAGCAGGTGATGCAAACTCGTTACAATACATATACATGTTTGCAAATCCGGCCTCAGGGCACTGCCATCTTGCTGAGTTGGGGTGTGCTTTATGCGCGACCATAATCTGATTATGACGCCTTAGCGAGGCTTTGTAATTGGATTATGACGCGTCTGTGATGCGCGCGGCCGAGAACCATCATTGGGCTACAGATGTTTTCGCCATGACACGGCTCCGCGTGTGACGAGATATACCGTCGATGGCCGGAGAAAAAGCACGAGCGGGGAAGAACGGAAAAAAAGGGAGAAGACGACGAGCGGTCCAAGGAGTTTGTCGACCGATGAGTTCATCCTGGTTCGACTAGGCCGGGAACTCAGGACCCTGCTTGCTTGGTCACCGTTACCGCTGAGTTTTTCCCGATTCGACTAGGCCGGGAACTCAAGACTCCGGCCACAAGGCCGGGAACTCAGGGACCTGTCAGCCTGCCCACCGCCCTCGCTGGGTTTGTCCGGGCTTCTGAAGACCCGGAACCCAACAGTTCACCCGCTCAGCCATCTTTATTATTGCAATGGTGGAACACTACAAGGCCTAACTCCGGAAACTCAAGAATCCGTCTGCCTGGCCACTGCTCCTGCTGAGTTTGCCCTGGTTCCACAAGGCCGAAAACTCAGGGCCCCGCCCAGCCATCATCACCGTCGAAATGACAGAACACTTGGCCTAACGCCAGGGACTCAAGAATCCGTCTGCCTGGCCACCGCTCCCGCTGAGTGCCCTGGTTCCACAAGGCCGAAAACTCAGGGACCCGCCCAGCCATCATCACCGTCGAAATGACAGAACACTTGAAGGCCTAACGCCGGGGACTCAAGAATCCGTCTGCCTGGCCACCGCTCCCGCTGAGCTGGCCCCGGTTCCACAAGGCCGAAAACTCAAGGACCCGTCCAGCCATCATCACCGTCGAAATGACATAACACTTCAAGTCCTAACGTATTTTTTCTATTGACATTAAGATCTGTGAAAGCCGCGTGTATAACGTCTACTGATACCGCTGTTGTAAATATTTTTGTAGAACCTTTACTAATACCATTGCTGTAAATATTTTTCTTTATATCTTCTTTGTTTAAACAATTCTCAAAGCAAATGGTCTCGTTCTCATTATTTATGACACGACATCCCCACGAACCTATGACAGCGTCCTAGCGCACCCCAACTGAGCAAGATGGCAGCACCCTGAGGGTGGACTTGCAAAAGTGTATAAAAAAATCTGTATATTTGGATCGAAGACAACGTAATAAGGCAGGCGAGCTGGTTAAAGTTAAACATCTCTAAAACCCAAGACTGAGCTAGGCTATAAAAAAGGGACAAACACAAGACATCTCAAACACAGATACTACTAACATTTGCCCTTTTTTAGCCTTTGTCTTGGGTTTTAGAAATGGTTAATATTTGGGTCGTTTTTTTCAAAATTATTGCTGTTATTACTGAAAAATTGTTTATGGGGGATTGCAATCCAGAAACCATAACACTTTTTTTCTCCCAATCAGTTGGAAATTGTGCTGGGATAACCAGGAAAGCCCTGTAAAAGTTGTTAAATTTTAACAGATAAATTAAAAACACCCCCCTCCACAATTTTCTTTTTTTTTTTTAATGCAGAATTGTGCATTTTAATGGCAGCTATCTCAGGTTTTGGGTGCATTTCTGGCATGGCAATGGTGGGGGAGGGTAGCGCAAGCAAGGAGGGCAGAGTTGACCTCTTCACATTGGCACCTGTTGCTCTATGTGGTACTTAGTCAAAGTAGCCTATTGCTGAGTACCACTTAGCTTGACCCTTTGTATTTGTTTTTGCCAATTTGGCCAACTTGTCCAAGAAAAATTATAATTTTTTTTTTGTTTTTTTTTGGTAAATTTGTAGAAAACGTCTATGCCCTCTCGTATCATAGTCGCACGAGGAAATGATGGTATTTTGATATAAGAAACAAATGAAGTGGTGTGATGCACGTGCTAAGAGGTAAGAGCAGACAGCGAGGTGATTCTTAGAAAAAAAAAGTATACAAGTTTTGCAGCTTGTGTAGAATGAATGGCACTCGTGCCGTTCACGTCTCCCCGTGAGCAGCAAGGACCTGAGCGAGGAGCTGGCCCATGGCCTGGGAGGGAGGGCTTTGCTGCGCTCCTCCCTTCGGCTGCGCAGCAAGCTCGTCGGCGGCCTCTGGCTCCTCTACCGCAGGAAGTGCAAGGCACTCAGCGGTGACTGCTCTCTCCTTTTATATTTCCCTCTTTTTAGGGATCTAGGCACAGAACTTTTTATGCTTTTCCACTTCTCAAGGTTCGAGTTGAAAGCATGTATTAATCTGATGCTTGTATCAATGTTTATTCTTAAGACATCAATATCAGTTCAATGTTATTTAGCACTGTGACCAGCGTGTGTCCTTTCAGTCCAAAAGCTCCGAACCATGTCCCGGGCGCTCGCGTTGGTAGCGTGAGCACTTCTTCACTTCACTGCGTGGTTATCTTGTATAGCGCAATACAATACATCCCCCCCCCTTTTTGTTTTTATAAAATTTGGTTACATTGCAGTTACGTTAGTTATGAAAATGAAAAAAAAAAAGAAAACACATCAAGGCACTTGATTAAAGGTACAGTCATAGCGTAGTCGCGTAGGAGGCCTTGTTTGTCGCTGGGATCTTCGTGGAGGAGGGTGTGAATGCCTGCTTAAAGGCACTAAAGCATCCTGATGGCCCGGTGATGCCACCGGCGGTAAGTCTATATGAGTTCCCTCGTCCGAGGTGTCATCTTGCAGTGTGTTCGGTCTGAAAGGCTCGCTTGTCGTTAGTATATGTTGCCTGTTCCTCCGAATAACCCTGCCGTCCTTGGTTAAAACTTGGTACGACCTCGGGCGTGTCTTGGCGACGACTTTTGCCGTCTTAGACAACCGCCTCTTTTTGACTCTGACGACCTGGCCCTCTTCCAATGGTGGAAGTGGACGTCTGGAATGCTCGCTCTGGACGTGCTTCTGCGCCTTCAAACCTGAGTGGTCACCAAAGTCCGGAAGACTTGACCTCAGCCATCCTCCTTGCAGCAGCTCCCCTGGTGAACGTTTGTCTTCTAGTGGGGTTGATCTATAGCTCAGCAAACTCAGCCAAAAATCTTCTCGGCTCTCTTTTGTCTTCTTGAGGATCCGCTTCACTACCTGCACGCCTTTCTCTGATAAACCGTTTGACCGAGGGAACTCAGGGCTTGATGTTGTGTGTCTGAAGTCATACTTGCAAGCAAATAAGGTGAACTCTTGACTTGAAAACTGGGGTTCATTGTCAGTGCATACTTTGACTGGGATGCTGTATCTCCCAAATATGGCCCCTATCCTCTCGATGACTGTGCTTGACGACGTGTCGTTTAGTTCCTCCACTTCTGGAAAGTTGGAAAGTTCCTTCCATACTGGTACAGATAAGCACCAACCCTGTACCATGGAAACTCCGGTGTTGGGCTCAAGATATAGGGTTTGTTTGGCTGACTGTGTCGGGCAGCTACGTGGCTTGTGCTCCTGGCCGCACATGGAACACTTGAATTTCTTGTGTAGTTCTCTCGTTGCCGTCATTATTTTCATGGGATCTACCTGTTCCTCTTTCTGCCCCCAGGCTTCATTTTGAAGGGCTGCTACTTCGGACGCTTTGCCCATTTGTTCGACCTTCGCCAGCGTAAGTTGCTTGTCTCGCAGGAGTTTCACCCTTAGGTGGTCGTCGTTGATTCCGATAAACAACTTGGTCGCGAATCATCGACTCCGTCAGCCCTCTGAAGTTACATGAACGTGCTCGTTTCTTCACGTCTCAAAGGAACTGCTCGAAGGTCTCTCCTTCTGCCTGGATCCTTTTCCGGAACATGTACCGCTCGTAAATTTTGTCCGCTTGAGCTTCCCATCTGTCGAACTTGTTTACGATGGTCTCGTAGTTGTTGGCGCTTTCCCCTTCGGTGAATGTGAAATTATTGAAGACCTCGATGGGGCATCTTCTCCCGCCAAGCTCAATAGTAGCGCAGTTTTCGCATCGTCCCTTAATGGCCTGCCGTGCGGCTCTGTTACGGTTTCCTTTCAGTCCAAAAGCTCCGAACCATGTCCCATGCGCTCGCGTTGGTAGCGCGAGCACTTCTTCGCTTCACCGCGTGGCTATCTTGTAAAGCGCAATACGATACAATGCTTAAAAAAGAAGAGCTTGAAACTAAGTACAGCCAAACTCACTTATAATGATCCCAAATATAACGACCTATCGGTTATAACGACCAGCTTTCAGGAAATGTATGAATTCAAGGCCCTAGCCATTGAAATCAGTCCGGATTTTAGAGCGCAGCTCTTAGGCGGCGGTTTACGGCTTGAGCGGCATTGCCGTCGGCGTAATTGTGCATTGCATTATGGGACGTTTCCCATAATGACTTCTCACCTGACGTCGCATGTGGCATCACGAGGGCCACTAGGGTCACGAGTGACACTCGTGAAGGTCACAACCTTCACGAGGCTTTCAAGAGTGACGTCATGAGGGTCACAAATGACGTCACAAGGGAGGAGACAGGGAGGGGGAGGAGAAGGAGGATGGAGGAAACGGGGAGGAGGAGAGGGCACAGAGGGGGGGAGGAGGGGCATATTCTCCTCTCTACTTTCCCCTCCTCCTCAAGAGCTGCACTCTAATTCAGCATTCCGGGAAGTTGTAAACGTCTTTCAGTTTTTAATTTTTTTTAAATTTGAAATATCGTTAGTCTTGCTTGATTATTACAGGGAGAAAATTGTACACGAAGTAAACATTATAGCTCAGGCTAACGCGTGCAGTGATGCATTTTCCCTCGGCTAGCATCAAGCTCAAATTCAAAATGCTTTGAAACGTTTTGTTTAGATCGGGGAATGATCAGCCTTCCTTTCTTAAATAAGGTCTGGGGAACATAAGTCTTTCGGTGGGCTCATTCAATTTACCTGCACCAGGCTTCACAGGTGTAGAAAAGTGCAGGGCAACATACTTCCGGTCCTGTTTTGAGATGGACTGCCCTCGTAAATCGAATACGGCGGTGTGATCACCCAGCTAAAAATTCTTATTAAATCCAATTGGAATTCTAGCTGGTTTTAGCTGGAACCAAAATCTTTTAGTGGGTTCCAACTGGAAGCACACTGGCCAATGGGTCTCACCAATTGGAATTATTTTTGAACCTGAATGAGTTCCTAATAGTTCCCATTGGCAGGGACCAATTGGTTGTCCAAAAACCCAATTGGTACCAATAAAATTTCAATTGGAACTTAATGGGAATTTTGAACTGGGCAGAGTGCAGCTGGTGCAGGTCAATGGAATGCAGCAAGTGTGGTTTGTTCTCCCTTGCCTCCCAAGAGAGGAACAGTTCAAGGCAGTTTTATGGTTCCTTAAACCATTGTTCGAGCGAACCTTGACAAATGTTTCTCTCGCCAGAATATGCGGACAAGACGCTGCAGCTCTTGGACGAACGAAACAAGATGGGCCTCCACCTCAAGTGAGTGTGTTCAGCTGCCTTTGGATTGGACGGGGCTTCTCGAGAGAACGCCAGAAAGGACTCTAAAGAACGACAATAAGTGGGCAGTTGGTGGACAGCGTAACTGCAAAAAGCCTCTTCTCCAAATCCGTATTTTATACAACTGGCCGCACTACAGGTGCGGCCAGTGTGGTCACCCTGTCGTAGCTCAACAGACCACGAGTTAGGGGATCAAAACCTGAACTTTGTTAACTTTTGGCAAAAGAACAACCTACCAAAAGCCGAAAGATTAAAAAATCTCTTTCCTTTCTGGCACATATATTAATCGCCTCGTATCGGCCAATTTCGACTGTTTAGCGGTACGTTGTACTACATTTTTTCTACACTTTTTTTTTTTTCAAGCTTTGTGTATGCTAGCTAATGGCTTGTGTATGTGATTCAACTCTTTATTGTTACATATATGTCTTTATTGGGTTCAAACTAGCATGGTGCTAATAATCCATGTACTGGCATCTACCATTGTTTTTCTTAGTCTTTACAAATACTTTAATAAAGTTGTGAAAGCTACCGTAATGTGCTCAGTGCAGGTGAGTTACACGGCCAGGGGGGCATAATATAGGGGTTAATCATCACTATAAATCGAATAATGAACTAAAATACGTTATTCAAGTTTTAATTAGTGAAAATAAACATGGTTCCAATCAGAAACCTTCTGAGCGTCATTGGAAACTGCTAAATAAGTATATTTTAGAAAAATCTGGGATGCATGGGTATCGCTGTGGTGCGATAAAGTTCCCATTTGTGCAACGGGCGCAATGCTGTGTAATAAGAGACAAAAAACAATGCTGGTGTTTTTTTGCACCCCTCGTGCCTGTTGCACAGGTGCTAACTTTAGTGCACCACCGCACTTCCCACAGGCCTCAAATTTTCTCTTTTACTGTACTATCCCGATAGATGTCCCACCTCCTAAAGATAACCTGCCCCCTACTTTCTGGCATGCTTCGCAATTTTTAGAGCGCAGCTCTTTGTTTTCGGCTTGAGCGGCGTCGGTCTAACCGCGTGTTGCATTCTAGAACGTTTCCCATAATGACGTTGCGTGTGACATCATGAGGGTTATTCTCATGAGGGTTACAAGGCTTACCCTCACGAAGGTTATCAGGGTTACCCTTACGAGGGTAGCGTCACGTGTGATGTCTTTATAGGAAACACGTGGCGTATGACGTCATTATAGGAAACACGTCACGTGTGATATCATGTGACCTGTTACGTCACAAGGGACGTCACATGCATCTAACATTGCCAACACTCCCGCTAAAGTTAGATGGGAAATTGTTCTGCTGAATTCGGCAGGAAAATATTTTCGCTAAATTTACCCTCGTGGCGTCATGTGTGACGTTACGAAAGTAAAATTATCCTGCTAAATTTATAAAAAAATTCCTGATTCGAACCATATCTTCAATAATTGAAAAGTTGATGTCAGGTAATTAATTGACTTATTGTGACAATTATCCCCCTATATTATGCCCCTCTTTGCTCTATAACTCACCTGCACAGATTGTGCTAAAAGATACATGCTAAGGAAAAAAACATTTCTTTTAAACAGCCTAGATGGCAAAGGAATGTCAAAAACATATTCACAACGAAGAAAAAAACTTCTAGAGCTATATTTTCTGTGCAAAACAAATTTGTAGTTGGTGCCCGCGAGAGCCATTGTGGGTCACATGGTACACCTGTGCGCCATCGTGCGGCGCTGCTGCCGCCTCAGAGTCACTCCGCCGCCGCACGCTGAGCGTGGTGTGGCACCGTTTCAACGTGTTTGTACACGTTACCGCCGCTGCCGCGCAAGTTCGTCTGCTCCGCGGCGGCGCTGCCGTCATCTGACCAGCGCACAGGTCTATCACGTCTGCTTGCGCTTTTTCAGGAGCTTCCTTTGGGCACTAAAAGTTGCTTACTAATCTTTTTTGTTTTTGTTGCACTTCAAACAAAGATGAATAAGTAACTTTTAGAGGCCATAGAAAGTTTCCGAAAGAGCGCAAGTACCACGTGACAAACAGCAGCCACTGTTCCGCGGCGCCCGGAGGCGCCAACTAGAAATTCGTATAGCGCCAATTCGGTTTATAACTTTCTCTTCCCAACCAGGCTGTTTAAAAAAAATGTATTTTTTCTTTGCATGTGTCCTTTAATATAGCCTTGAAGGAGCCCTGCAAGGACTTTTTGACTCGTTTTTAATTTTCACCGAACCTGAGCCCACTGAACGTAGTAACTTAATGAAACTTTTCTTTTCTCGAATTTCGCTTTATTTTAAAAGTTATAGGCAAATTAAAATTACAAAAACAAGCCAGAAATAACCTCCTTCATGACCTCCTTGGTTGCTTGAGTGGCCATGAATTAGAGGAGGGGTCGTGAGCTCAGCGAGCGCTCACAGCTGCCGCGCTCTGCGTCGACGGCTCGAGAGGGTGCCACCAAAGCATGTTCTGGATAGGCTGTATGAAGCGGGCGGCCAGGGCAGCTCGCATTGCATTTGCTTCGCAATTAAACACTAATTCGGCATGACACTTCATTGGTCACAAACGACTGCAAACACAGGGTAAAGATCAGTTCAGAACAGGAGCCACTTCGTGCTTCCATACCGCCAAACGACCAAACCGCAAGCCAAACCTGCTCGCCGAAGTCCTTTGGAACGCTCAAAACCGGTCGGATCCTCGAGCCCATACGACTGCAGCACTGCTGCATACATCCAGGACCTTTTCTACGCTCGCCACTCGTCGGTGCCTGATCTCACTACACCTTTCTAGTATGCGCCGCCTTCTCCACCACTTGGTGGCGGGTGTGTCGACGGGTCATTTGTTGTTTCCGTACTTTCTAAACTGCATTCGTTTCTTTTCTGATCTAAAATACTGAACTAAAACTATTTTCATAAATAATTGAAACGGTTCGCGCACTTATATTTTGTATTTCGGCTTAAAAAAAAAAAAGCTCTTAGTGGCCGACGCGGGAAAGCATTTGCGTTTGCTCGATGAGCATTTATGCCCACTAGTAATACTGGTCGACCGATAATCTAAGAAAGAAAAGCATACCTAGGAAAGGACATAAGGCGTACTTTATAAATATTGCCGCGAGCGCAGCTGACCAAGCAGGCAGCGTGCTCGTGGCTTAACGGTTATCACGCGTGCCTTCCACGCAGAAAACCAGGGTTTTTATTCCTGACCACGGTGATGCATTTTTCTTGACTCTAACGTAATGTTCTGGTAAATTCGAGAACCGTGTTGCTGATTCGAGGTTAGGATGTTCTACACGCCGAACCTTCTACGCCGATTGTTCCAGAAGCCCACGCATGTACAAAAGGGGCTCCGCGTGGCAAGCCGGAGTCAGTCTCGCCCAAGCGCTCGATCCTGCTGTTATGCCGCTATCGACACCCGCGACGCTCTATTGTTATTTTCTGTTTCCTTTTTATTTTCTGGGCACAAGTTCGCCCCATTAAACGTTTAGTTTACTTCACTTTTCGTCGCCTCATTACTTGTCATTCGTGACAATATTGTAGTCAAGTTAGTTTCCCTGCCTCAGTCTATCGACAATGCTTTGAACTCTTGACTCAGCTTGGCTCCCAATGCTACAGAGTAACGTGCAATGTTGGTCTCGAAAGCAGATACCTAAGTGGTCACAGTTTCTATGGGTGGTTGGTTTTGCAGTTTATGTTATTAATACTGTGAGTAAGGTGGGTTCATACTATATCAATAATTATAATGTAGGATCATCAATCAATATTTCCGGGAATATGCTGCTTTTTTGCTGAAATTTTATGGGAATAATATTGGAGAAAGATGTGCCATCTCAACTCAAGTGTTGTACTATGATCCACATAATAGTTTTTTTATATTTGTCCAAGGAACGAACGGTTTAGCCATTTTTGTTTTTGTTTTTCCTTGATATGTGTTATAAGCAAAACAAAGTTTGATCTTTTATCTTTTAAATATTTTACTATTTTGGTTATGAACATAAATAAGTATTATGTTTTTATATCAAAAAGTGAACCATCGATCGTCATCATATTCAAAGGACATGGTAACATCTGGGTTGGCATCTGCTCCGAAAGTGTCAATTGCTCCAAACCAGCATTTTGCCTGCTACAAGACCTGCTACAAAAAGTCAAATGCCATTTCCAACACTGCGACCAGGTCGTTACACGAGGCTCGTGAGAATTTATGCAACCTTCAATGATTGCCTCAAATAAGGTCATACTTAATTTGATATCAAACATCAACAGTACTCGGAGGTTTTCCAATATTGATCATGTTGGTTGTCTGTTCTGGCTGGATAGCTAGCGTCTTTGAGTGCACTTGTCACTGTGCAGTAGGCATTGCAATTTTGCAAATCTCGCTTCACTGCAGTGCACCTGCATGCTAAGGGGAAAGCGGCCCTCCAGGGTGGGAAATTACGCACAGTTTCTGAAGGAAGACAATATCTTTTTCTCAATCGAAATTCATCAAGGATGCTTGAGTATCGTGAAAAAACTTTTATCGATATAGCCGGGAACACATTTGCGAAAAAAACGAACCGAAAATCGGAGAGAAAACGGAGGCTGCGAAAATCGTAGCTTGCTATTTTCGGAAGACAAGCCACATGAGGTGGAATGCGCGGCGCGGAAATCGCAATGCACTGCGGTTTTCGTGCTCCGACTTCAGGAGGCTGGATCGGTAGTCTGGCGAACTGGCGTCCCATATTTCGCGCCTCTTAAAAACTGCAGCTATTAAAACCTCATTGAATGCCATGCGAGCCTTTGTACCACCACCCTTTGATAGAGACAGAAGGGGTTTTGTACGAAAGTAGAGATGAGAACGCAGGGATGGCATACGATGTTGCTTGCGCTGCTTCCGAAGCTGCGTGAGCCGCCATGTTGCGAGCCGATCGTATCTTTTTGTTCCGTCCAGTTCCGGGCTTTCGCTCACTGAGCTCCTCCGCCCCGAATTCGGAGGCGCCGTGCGAAAATATCTGGCGCTGCAGATCTTTTGAACCGCTCTCGATTTTCGGAAAAGCGGAGGAGCAAGGGAAGGGGCCTAGCTGCCGTGCAATTTTTGTGTGCGGTTTTCGCACAAAATTCGGCTTTTTTTCGCAAATGTGTTCCCGGCTTATATGTTTATTTTTTATCTCAACTCTTATTTAGTTGTTACGTTTATATACCGTAATATCCCGAGTCATCGCCCATCCCCGAGCCATCGCCCACCCCATTTTTTGGGCCAATATCGATTTCCGAAAAAACACAGAGTCATCGCCCACCCCTTCAAATACCCCAGCGCGGACTCTGCGATCCGCGAACACTCATCCTACCCGAATGACGCGGCCGCGGACCTTACAGTTGGAGGACGTCCGTGACAAAGTAAAACGAAGGAGGGAAAGACACTTTTTTGTTTACGCATTTCCTCCGTGAGCGACCCCAAAGTGGTCGTGTATCCGTGCGAAAAGAAAACGATGGAGATAACAAAATAAGAGTTTGTTAATGTAACCGCGGAGTGTTAGGTCAAAATCTGTCTCCGCCGAAGTAAGGTCACCGCGAACCCGCTCCTTCTTCCTGCCCGTCGCGACCGCGGTTGTGCAATATTTTAGGCAAAGCCAAAGCGTAAATAAAGCTTTGCTGGAACGTCCTACACAGACATTTGCAGAGCGTCCCAACCGTGCATTGATAGCCCGCCGTGCACGGACGCACGTATGTACGCACGAAACAAGAAAGTTGCGCAAGAGCTTGCAATTGACAAGGCGCCCGACTTGGCCTGACGCCAAAGTATTTGCCAACGCAACCGCCGCCTTTCCCGCTTTCCCAGCATTGCTCTTGGTAGCTTCTTTGGACCGCTCGCTCGCTGGCTCGCTCGTTGCGCCTTGTCGGTTTTTCTATTTCTTGTAGACTTTTCTTTCTTTTTTTTTTTTACTAACTAGGAGAACATAATGGTGACATTCTTTCACGGAACAAACGTTCGCGCTATATGCAGATCGGTGGTGTTTCTAGCCCGTATGCAAGCAGCGGACTTCGCTATAGTAAAATATTCTTTCGTGAGCATTCTTTTCTTCAAAACAATGAAACTAAATAGAGTTTTGAGTTTGATGTATCTCTTGTGCATCAGCGCTAGATACACAGAGAAAAATAGGCGTTTTTTTCTGCTTTTTTTTTAAGTGTTTGTGCTCACCCACCGAGACATGGCCCACCCCACTTTTTTAACGAATTTCAGGCGGTAGGGGGGTGGGCGATGACTCGGGATATTACGGTAGGTTCCATTTGTTTGATGGCAGAGTGAATAAAACTACATTAGCTGGAGCAGTAAATGCAAGCCTGGGAACAACTGGAATGAGTTTGGCAGGAGGATATTTTTAAGAAAGCATATTTATCGTTCACACGCTGAATTTTGTTATCATGAAGTTCTGCTTACAAAATGTTGATGTTCAGAATCAAATGATAAAATCTTTGTATCCTATCTATATTAAGAGCTGCAGTTCTATTAGAACCTTAAGAACTTTAAGAAAAGATCTATTTGGGTGCTCGAAATTATTATATTCTAACAATATTTCAGTGGAATATGCTATTTGGTTTATGCTTGATCTCATACCCAAAATGCACAGCACTTTCTACTGCCCGTCATTAATCAGCATATTGTTACCGTGCCTTGTGCTTCTATGTGCAATTAAACTTGTAGCTAGTGAGTCAACCCTGCCGTGCTGTTGATACTATCAAAAAGTTGCACAGAAGGAGGAAGGCAAAGTAGACATAAACGCATAAGTCTTAACATATGACATTTGCGCTGGTACGAATGAACATGAAATGTGCACTTATGCTCCAAAAGTACTTTGCCCTGCTCCAAAATGGACTTTCGACTGCTCCAAAAGGTGGTCCAAAATGACTCGAACCAATCACATTACTGTAATAGCGATAGTGAGGTTACGAAAAACACCTTCTTCCCCAAATCGGTCGACGCCTTAGGAGGTCCTCATGAATTTGGGGTCACCTTAGATTTCAATATGTTTAGAAACGTGCAGCCCGCATCTGGAATGTACCGTATATTTGTCCAGTCTACCAGCCGCAAAATCCGACGAACGACGTGCCCCACGTTCTTGGGTTCTACCGCAGATGCCAGGGACAGAATGCGGCGAATCGTAAGCGGCCATGTCGGAGGCCCGAGCTGTTCACGAAGAGCTTGCTAGTCTAGCAGACGGCAATGTTGCGGCAGTGGACGTTCATCCGAAGTTGGTTGGTTTCGCAGCAGACGACTCTTGGCCAGCAGACGACAGCAGGTTCCTTGGTGCAGTGGCACACGTTCCCGTGATGTTGTGTCACGTGCCTCGCTCCGACGCTCTTATTGGGTCGCGGGGCCTGTAGCCTCCACAGTTCACTAAGTTATCGTGAAACGAAGTTTAGTGGCAGAAGCTGCCAAGTACTGAGAGCCTACTGAATATTTTTTTTAACTTTTTTGGGAAATACCGTATTTGCACGAATATAACGCGAGTTTTTTTTCGAAATTACGTGCTCCAAAACGCACCTCGCGTTATATTCGGAATCGAGTTCAGCCACGAGGCGCGCGAGTCTGGAGAAAGCCAGAGGAGAAAGACATCCCTCCGGCTCAATGCAAAATATCCGGTGGGAAAAGAAGTGGGGGTGTGGAAGAGAATTTATTAGCTATTGGGCCACGTGAAGGGGAGAATAGAAAACATAAAAAAGCATTTTTATCGCTTTTGTGTTTGTACAACGCGCGCACGCCGCAGAAACTCGGCGCGCGCGCGCGTCATGCGGGAATGCGGGCACTGGCCAATTCGAGCCAAGCCAAGCCGGGCCGAGTCAAGTCAACACAAGCCAAGCCAAGACCACCGACCGCGTTTACGCAATCGTGCAACACGAGGCATTTGTTTACGAAGAGGGATCAGAACAAGAAGTGTGATAGTGTATCGGGTTCAGCCGTCTTTTTTCTGCCTGCGCATTGTTTAGTTTCTGCTCCAGAGTGGTCTGGTGTTTGTGTGTTGGTGCTTCTGCTTCCGCGCCTTGTTTGGATTGTGGTCTGCCGAGGAGCTCCCACTGAAGAAAAAAGAACTACCAGACAAGCAGGTGCCGTGCTGCTGCATACCTGCGTAGTCGCCAAGTGGATTGTGAACGGAAGGACCTGAGCAGTGAGGATGAGTGCAGTCAAAACATAACTGATATTTCTTCTATTTCCATTGACTTTTCACTTCTGCTATGCCGCAGAGTGCGAGAAATTGATGGGGCATCGGTTCGCGTTATAATAGTAATAATATTTTTTTTCTTTTTGGGGGCATCAAAAACTGCCCTCGCGTTATATTCGTGGTCGCGTTATATTCGTGCAAATACGGTACGTTTGTAATATTGAGGAGTTTACTGCATACAAGAGCGATTTAATTATGCACATTTTCCTGAAATATTCTGTGTTTTGAATTCGTACTACTGAAATATTGTTACATTGAAAGCATAAAAAATCGTAAGAGGATTTAGAAATTTTTTTAAAATCTGCAGTTAATCTGACGTTTGCAATAAGGAGATCAACTGTATAATGGGAACTCTGCGGCGGACAGCGTTACCCAAGCGGGGCTCGAGTTTCAACCAGCTTCTCCGTGTATCCGCGTGCAGGAAGAAGGGCAGAAAGAAGAGTCCCGCGACAGAGGACGCCTTGGAAGGCAACTCCCGTTTCGGGAATGTGCCCCCTAACGACGAGACGCCGGAGAGCGAGGTGGTGGAGCGGCTGGCACAGGCGGCAGGTGAATGGACTGCTGTGCCGCTGCCAGAGGGCGAAGGTGACCTCCTGCAAGGTGGGCGGGGCCCTCAAAGTCCTCGGGTGGTCCAAGTAAAAAATTTATCTCGACCCTATGGACGTAGGCGGTATACATAAAATGTGCTTTCGTGGCAAACTTTGGAAGTTGTGGCAGACTTGGCAGTTTTTTTTTTAAGCGATAACTTTATAGGACCAACCACGCTCAAGATCGTGAAATCAAGGTCACAAAATGCCCGTGGCTGAAGCTCGTAAGTGCCGGCAGCTGAATCTGATGTGACTTGACGTCGTCCTTGACATCATCTTAGAGGTCGTCCTTGGCATTGTTCTAGAGGTCGTCCTAGACGTCATTCATTCTTTTGATTGTCCAGATTCATTTACTAGCGTAAAAAAGATAGTTTCGGTTTAACAGGGAGCTTCCCTCTCAGTTCTACAAATATGTTACAATAGGCAACCAATAGGGAATTTTTGTAGTCTGCGCAAGATGGCGACATAGATGGGACTTAATGGGCGAAGCCAGAGATCGGATATTGCTCCAACAGCAGCGCCATAATGATGTCATGCACGCAAGTCAAAAGGTGACATCTGATATGCTCAGAAACCCGTAAGATGGCCGACACGATTAGGCTCTAGCGTCGCCTCTTGCACCGCGGTCGGGGTTTGGAGTCGTACGCCGACCCCGTATGTTGCTTGTGATGTCGTGCTACAGAGGAGAGCCTGAGGGAATTATTTGCAACTTCAATCGGCCGAGTCCCTATACGATTGTCAAATGACGAGCTGAAGTGCTGATCCGCTCGTAGAAACAGGAGGCTGGAAATATATGCAAAATGCCTTTGTGTTCTTGACACGGTGTAAGAAAGGAGATTATATGAAGACACTCTGCCACAAGGGGACAAACAAATGTTCGCTCCTACTCTCACCTAGCTCCAGTACTCTTCGATAATTTTGCTCTTTACTGGGCTATTCTCAGAAATGGTTGTCAAGTGCCCCGTTCTACGAGAGGAAAACATCACCGGTGGAGATACGGGTGGAAATTCAGTGTTGAAGAGTGTGTGTGTGTCTACTATCAAGCGCTCCGTTACTCACAGGAGAGGGCCTTTAATTTCCGGAGGGTCTTGCAATGCTCGCTCGCCGTGAACACCGTGCCCGCGACAAAGCTTTCTTCCTCCGCGGCGTGGGTGACTGGTGGCTCTGCTTCCTAATTTTCCCCCACACCTTCCTTAGCGCTGCTTGTTTCATTGCCGGGAGAGGTCGCTGGAAGCACCGCTGCTTGGGTGGTGTCGAGTGCCGCCGCGCGTGCTAGACTCAATTTGCTCCTTCGTTGCTTTGCACAAGTTTCACGAGAACGAGCTGTCGTTTCCTCGGCGCTTTCCTCGGTGGCTTGGACAACGCCAAGTACAAGTACTTTGCTCATAAGAAAAAAATCTATGGGGATTGCACGACATCATAATGCGAGATGATTAGGGTCCACGAGTGCTTTAATTAAACAAGACTCACTCCTTACACGAATGGTACCGAGAGCTGCAATTCGGTACAAAACATTTCTTGCCCATTCTGAGGAGCTCAACACACGGAGATAGAGAGATGCTGGCATGGAAGTGGCGAGAAAGTCGAAAGTTAACCCCTTAAGTGCCTTGGACGAGCTGAGCTCGTCGGCCACTTTCTGACTAAAAATGCCGTTGGACGAGCTCTGCTCGTCCAGTGGTTTTTTCGGTTGCCCTCAATTCCACGGACGAGCCCGGCTCTCCCGAGTAGTTTTGCGGCGCTAATCACAGATGGCAGCACTCATATGTAGTTGGCAAATATTTTTTTCGCCTCCGCTGATTTTCGCGTAATAAACTTTTCAAATTTTATGTGTAATACTAGAGGAGTAACAATTCAAAATAAAAAAATCTGGCACTTTTAGGTTACTTTTGGGAAAAAAAATTGGCACTTGGGGTTAATGGACACATGCAAAGGAAAAAAACATTTTTTTTTAAACAGCTTAGATGGAAAAAGGATGTCATAAAACAATTTTATTACGAAGAAAAATAATTTTTAGAGCTATATTTACTGCGCTAAACGAATTTGAAGTTGGCACCCGCGGGAGCCGCCGCTGATCTTGTAGAAGGCCTGCTCGCCGCTGCGCTGCGTTGCCGCCGCCGCAAAGTCACGCTGCCGCTGCACGCTGAGCGTTGTGCGAACGCCGCTTCAACGCGTTTTTCCACGCCGCCGTCGCCGCCGTCGCACAAGTTCGTCTGCTTCGGGGCGCCGCCGCCGTCGTCTGACCGGTGCACAGGTCTATCACGTCTGCTGGCGCTTTTTCAGGAGTTTCCTTTGGGCTCTAAAAGTTACCTATTAATCTTAGTTTTTTGTTATACTTCAAACAAAGATGAATAAGTTACTTTTAGACGGCATACGAAGAGAGCGCAAGCACCACGTGATAAATAAGGGCCAGTCACGTGATAAATAAGGGCCACTTTTTCGCGGCGCCGGCGAGCGCCAACTACAAATTCGTATAGCGCCGTAAATATAGCTCTAAACATTTTTTTTCTTCGTTGTAATATTGTTTTATGATATCCTTTTTTCATCTAAGCTGTTTAAAAAGATGTTTTTTTCCTTTGCATGTGTCCTTTAAGGTTTTTGGGTTTACCGCACAACTTTCTCCATTTCCCGCCAATTTCTGATTGGCACGAAAATGGTTGCATGGACAAAATCTGCCCCAAAAGTACTTCGGGGTACCCTTGCGCAACATTGCGTTTTGGGCGATGCCATGGTGGAAGGCACACACTTTTTGGTAAGCATTCGTGAAATGTCAATCTTACACCCAAATTCAACAAGCTACAAGCTTGTTCAACCTCTGAACGTTGTATGACAGCAAGGTGGTGTGTTCTTTTCATAACGTGAGCGATGTTTTAAAGCATCTTACAGCATTCTCTAAAGCAGACGGCATGTCTGTCGTCTGCTCCCTGTAGCCCCCCGGCAACAGTGCCGCTGTGACCGCTCGGAGAGAAGAGCTCACGGGAGTAGAGGCGGACACAATCTGGTCGTGCACTTTCTAAGGAGCGTAGGAGAGTGTCTTCACCTAGCCTCCTTTCTTAAACCGTAGTACTCGAGTAGCTGCATGTTAGGTTACTGCTGAGGAAGATCCTGGTGAAGGAAAATTTATGGAAAACTCACCACCATAAAGCCGGTCGTGGGAAACTACGGCATACCACGCCTGCACCCACAACAATAAGCTGCCCAAAACATATGTGCCAATAGTCGAGAGGTCATGCATCCCTCCTTGCTACTGATTTCGTCAAATTATGATTGTAATTTTTTTGTTTTATGTTTTATCATAATTCTAATTCACAATGAGGCTCCATAACGGATGGGAGCCACAGCGGGACGAGTAGCATGGCTCCGATGGTTACCAAACGACAGAAGACCGGGATATATATTTGAAACAGAGACTACCGCAGTCATGTGATCATCACGTAATGTGACATACTTTGGGCTGCCCTCAACTTTCCCAGAGCCTGTCTGAGGTGACTTTGTGTTGTTTTTTTTCTCTAGTTCCAACCGGCGGTGCCCTGCAAGCGGACAGGAGTGCCATCACCCTGAGGGAGGACGTATCGAGTGTGCGGTTTGAAGAAGAAGTGAACTTTGAGGTATTTACGCTCGCTCTGCCATTCTCATACCATAGAATCAGACTAAAGACAGTTTGGAAATCTATTCTCGACAGAATCAAAAGATTGCACGCAGTATTCTTTCCAAATCTTTGGGCGCTTTTTTTTTGTGCCGGATACGATCACTGGAAACTCGGCGGCAACCACCGAGACCGAAACACGTTCTGGGCACCCGAGAGAATGTGGACGAAACGTTAGAGCCAAACACAATATGGAGGACTGCGGCCAAGTCTGGAAACGTTTACTCAGTTTGTGGGACATGAGGTGCGGTCGACTCCGTCCGAAATTCCACGCGTTAGTCCCGAAAATCGGACTTTGGGAATCTCCTCGGGGTGCCCTTCGAGGGACCACTTGACAATTGTAGAGGCTGCCATCTCTGCGACAGTGTGTTAAGCAGAAAGTGGCGCCCTCCTCACACGTATATATATCTAATGCTCTGGAATGAGTAAGGGTGGCTGTCACCTGTCGACCAGCTTTTCACTGAAGCACTTCTCAAGCTGAAGCACTTTTCAAGAAATCCGAGTTAGGGGCATACCTTTTTGTCCCGTGAATTCAGTTATCGCACTTAGTTTGGGCAGAAGTAAATGTAAGCCATATTTATTTTGAAAAATATGTCCTCTCTGCCGCCTGTTATCTGTCCAGAGTGTCGCGAGGTCATTGACGGCATCCCGGAGTCTGCTTAGTGGCAAGCCACGGTCATCTGACCCCGCTGATGACTGCACTTGGCTAGTTTTTCTCTCCGCTTTCCTACTGTTGGAGAAATTTTAATTAGCTATTACGATGCTCCTCCTAATAAGATCGAAATAAAACTTAAGACGTATCATTTTTAAGGTGTCTACAGTACAATGTTTACTCTTTGTTTGAATTCAGGGACCTCTTTGCTTCCCTTTAGAAACACGACAACATACCGAAAAATGTTTTGTAAAACTAATTGCAAACTCTGTGTACGTTTAGACAGCCGGATGTTTGTCTCAGCTCGAATGAACAGCTGGTATCCCTACTGTAGATGAGGAATGTAGTCAGTGCAGTCCAACCGCTAGGTTGGGGTTTTTACCGTGCACCATGCAGCCGCTATACATCACTGCATGCCGGTACAATTGGTCATTCAAAACTTTTCTGCAAACATTTGTACTCCATACGGAGCTACAGGTGGAGGTAGCGTACAAATGCAAAGAGAAAGTTAAGTTGCATGGCGTTACTGCCAAATGTTTGATCATGGAATGACGACGAAGGAGCGACTGACCAATGGACTTTTTCCGCATTAAGACGACACAAATGGAGGGTACGCACAGTGCACCCAGTGGGAGGTCAGATAAATGCTCACGACCAAAACTTTATCCAGAGGCGGCTCGCAACACCGACTAGCTTTGCGGGACAAACTCAAAGCTACGCACCAACGGTGCATTCTTGCTCGTGTCTCTTCGATCGTAGAATTTCAATTTTTCTCGCAGAGCAAGTGCGAGGCGGCTGAAAATTTGAGCTAAACGAATCGCGTCGGTACTGCACAAGCGGCTAGTGGCGGGGAAGTTGACGTTAGATGAGATTTCAAGGGAAACAAAACCGTCCAGAAAACCGAGTCTGCAAACGAGATTCATTAAAGTGTTTTGAGCCGGGCAGGGGGGTGTGCCGGCATTGCCGAGCAGTCTTGCGCCATTGAACCCTTTTTCTAGTACTGGCATCAAATGTTGCGGGTTCGAATCCACTCGGGAACAGCTTTTTCTTCCGTGCACCAGTCATACTCGGCGCTTTGGCCACTTCGTGAGGAGAGCTTGCGGAACTCTCGGGAAAGGTCCACTGGCTCCAAGCTGGCGGACTTTGTTCGTATTCGCTCTTGAGGAAGGACAAGAGCAAGCCGAGGACATGACCACTGGGCTTCCTTTTTAATGCCCTTGGTCACTTCCGGTAACGCACTCTCGTAACAAAAGTATGTTGCACGAACGCTGAAGCCGTGTCCTGGCACGAGGCGCTGTCGGCTGCTGACGCCACATGCCGTCTGTGGCCTGGTTAGCTAATGCGGAAAAGAGAGGAGTGAACTCGAAAGCAGACTAGCAAACCCGAATAACCGGCCGTTCTTTGTGGCAAACCACACGCAGCTGAGCAATGGCATTAAAGGCTTTTGCCCGTTTCCTAAGGGAAACATACCTAAACTTTTGCTTGTGCTTGCGAAGACTGCCGTGTTTGCTTTAATTCCTTTTTCTACCACTGTTCTAATCTGTGTCCCTCTCCCCCGGCACAGGTTTGCCAACTGGGACAATCGCCCACTTCTCCGTCTCCCTTCTTCCATCATTAGGACATGATTATTCAGGAGGTGTTAAAGGGCCTCTCTGGCCTAGAAATAGCTATACTAGGTCATGGTGCCTTGCGCCATTTAACGTACCATATTTACTCGAATGTAACGCGAGTTTTTTTTCACAATTTTTCTCACCTAATTTGGGTTTTTGCGTTATAATTGAAACGCCTCAAAATTTGCCTTGTCGGTGTCGCAGCACAGGCTCTTTAAAATGGCTATGAGAAATCTCGCAATCTTTGAATCTTGTGCTGGCAACATATAGACGCTGGAAACAACCAATCCAATCCTATTCTTGTTTGCGACTCATTGCGCCGTATGCCCTTGTGTCGCGGGCTGCTCTTTTGTGTTTCTGCGACTTTGGACTCGAGCAAATGGCAATGCGACGAACTCAGTACGATGCCCGCTTTAAAAGAAGTGCAATTCTGATAGCTGAGGAAATCGGAAACTCTGACGTGGCTCGACAGCCAGACGTGACAGAACTGACTATTTGTGAAGCGCTCTTCAAGTACGAGTCGGGCCGAAAAGGCAAAGTGGCAGTGTTCTTAATTTAGCATCAAAACCGCCTACAAATTCAAATAAAGGTTCTTTTTTCCCTCACTTTACTTGCATTACATTCGTGTTTTTTTGTTTTTTTTCCCTGTGAAAAGTTACTTTTAGCGTTACAATCGTGGTCGCGTCTCATTCGAATAAATGCGGTACCTTCCGTTATGCTGCCAGATTATAGAACCATAATTACTAAGATTTCATCCAGAAGTTATTTTGAGAAGCTCAGATTTTGATGCGTCACTCGACGAAACCTCCGTCGTAATGGGATGCTACAGATATTGATTGTGATGTTGCGCCTTTTTCGGTTCCCCTCATTACTGCGTCACACTCAAAAGAGATGCCAAGCGGCGGGAGAGGAATAGATGGCGAGGAGGCTGGGAGGAAGGAGCGCTCCAAGGACACAACGCTTTGTCGTGGCTTGTTCATCGAGCGAGTTGCGGTACGGATATTTCCACATGTGCTTTATTCTTCGAATCGCAAACCGAAATTTCTTGAACACTTTTACGAAACCTGCCACGAAGTTTTTACATGAAACCAACAACCCCAACGTTAGACTGGGGACCCCTTAAAGGGGTACGGAAACCAAATTCTGGAGCTCATTTCTTTGTTTCAACACGACGCAGGTAGCAGCACAACCACAGAAACATAAATATTGCGCTAGAAAACGCAAGAAAACATATTTTAAAGTGAATTAAACGATAATCAAAAACCACCTGGTAGTTGGTTATGAAGCTTCAATGGAATGTCGTGACGACAACATGCCTCTGAAAGCAGCGCCGCAGCGGTATGTCCGCTCACTGGTATAGATTGCCTAGGCCTGAACGCAATACCGAGGCGTCTTGGTGGAAAGAGCCAAAACGAAGTGAGCCACCTTGGTTTCAGCTCTCGCGCGACGTGCAAACGCGTGCTTCGGTTGTTCTCAGGTTTGGTGCGCGTGCTGGCCCCGCGATATCTACAGCCCTTGGGTACTTCGACAAAGCGAGATTGTAACGCGTTGACGCCTCCAAGTGGCAAAACTCGTCACTACGTTACGCTTGGTCGTCCGAGGCATGATGACGTCAAGACGTCTGCCGGATCTCCCGAGATGCATCGCGCTCCTCCATGGCTGATTTTGAAGCGCTCGTCAAAATCGCGGCATTTAGAGCATAAAATATAGCCATCTGCTCAAAATACGACCGTGCGATTATTCATTACAGGCTTAGCTGATCATATTGAACTCATTTCTTGATGTTTTCTCTATATTTCAAGTTTCGATTCCGTATCCCTTTAAGCGAGCGTTTGTGTCCACGGGTTAGGAAAGTGCGTGGGAGGGGAGGGTGCATAGCTGGGGCAAAGCCGAGGTTTGCGGCTGCGAGAGACGCTGGAGCGTCATGGTCGGCGACCAGCTGATGGCGAATTCCACTGGTCGTTTTAGAGCGCGCCGGGATCAGTTGACCAGATCAGGAATGGAGCGCACAATCCGAAGGGGGTCACGCTGCCTACGGACCCAGGCAAAAATTTTCAACTGGGACCAATTGGTCCCAGTTGCAACTGGTTTATGGAACAATTCCCAGTTGCAGCTGGTCCCAGTTGGAGTTTTTCCCAGCTGGAATTGGTCCCAGTTACAACTGGTCCCAGTTGGAGTTGGTCCCAGTTACCGCTGGTACCAACTCCAGCAACAGTGAAACACGGCACAAAATGGAAAGTTGACAAGACTTTATTGTCGAAAACTTGGAGAATGAAACTAAATAATAGGTTCGGTGACGTGCACGCTCCAGGTTTAGCCACTTGCTTGCGACGGTTGAATCGCTTTTTTAGAGGTAGTATTCATGAGATGAAGGAATATCGGCCGCTGGCGTCTGTTAGTAAAGACGTCCTCAGCTTCTCTTCCCATCGCGTGAAGAAAGATGCTTACCCGTGATCCCGCGTTGCGCAGGTGAAGTCCTGATAGGATGCGGTAGCGCTCCCACCTTGCAATCTCTGTCACAGCAGTCGAACATTTTCGAGGTAGACCTCCCGCCATTTTCGCCATTGTGCTCTCCGCGGCGTTTTCTCTTTTGTCCGGCCTATGTGCGTCCGGTCGTTCCTGGGTGCCCTCCAATCGCTGAACTGCATCTTTCCATCCTCGAAGTTCACCGCCGCCACCATGGTGTGTGCACAGTTAGGTCCAAAGAAGCGCAGCTGTAGTTTTGACATTTTCATAACGACGCCAACTTGGACGACGCCAACTTGGGCGATGGCCGCGTCGGCCGCGTCTCGGCGTCCGTCCGCCTCCTGCGTGCGTAGTAGGCGTGCGTCAGCAAAGGTAGCGCCATCTGTCGACAGCGCGTACCACTAATCCGCACCCGCGTCCCGCGTGCCACGGCGGCCTGATTGGCAAAAGATAAATTTATTTATTAAAAGAAAAAAATACTGTAGGTATTTAAATAAATGTTTTAATATATTTTAATAATGCACTAAATGTTCATTTAGGTGAACAGATTTTGTCACTAATTATATTTTCAAATTAAAAAAATTATTTAGTTAATTAAAATTTTTATATTATTCTTATAAATATATAAATGTACCCAGTAATTAAAAATTCCCCTATTTGTATAAATCTAAGAATGTAAGTGTTTTTAGTTTTCTTCATTATCAAAGGTCAATGCACCCCCAACTTGTCCAAATTGTTGTCCCGTGTGAACTGGGAACGCGAAAGGCATTTGAAGTCCGACTGGGAATCGCTCCAACCAGTTCCTTCCCTAACTGGTCCCAGTTGACTCCATTCCCAACTGGGAGTCAAACCAGTTGACTTCCAACTGGGAATGGTTCAAACCAGTTGACTCCCAACTGGGAATAATTGAAACCAGTTGACTCCTCAGCTGGTCTCAGTTGGACTCCTATTGGTCCCAGTTGCTTCCCAGTTGGCACCAGTTAGTCCCAGTTGAAACCAGTTGAGGTGCCAACTGGTCCCAGTTAGAAATTTTCGCCTGGGGATCCCCTGTAAAATATGACTACTGCTCCGGGATCGACGGATGCCTTCGCGTCATTCACCTGCCCGGGAATCCCCTTTCCGCAGCCGCCGCAGTTGTTTCGAAGACGTTTTCGCAGTCGCGGCGCTAACACGTGTTCAACGCACGAGCGGCAGGAATGGCTCGGGAGCTTCTAGCAAAGATTGCTGGAAGCTGCTTGAGCAACTTGACAACAAACTGTCGTCAAGCAGCAGCAGCAGAAAGGCGGACGGTACAGGCAGCACATCTCGAGCGGCCATAACGAATTCTTCTGAGGCGAGATCAGGCGAGATGCCCCGCGAGAAAGGAAGTCACGTGTGTGCGCCGGGGGCTGGCCTGGCTGGTTTCCGGCTGAATCCGCCGAAATTGACGGAGCGATTTTTCTCGGATCCAGATCGAGATCTGGAGGGGGAGCTAATCCAAAACGCCCAGTGGAACACGTCCATCTCGATCCCGATCGCCCAGTGAAATAGGATCGCTCCAGAAAAGTCAATCCCGGCGTGCTCCAAAACGACCAGTGGAATTCGCCATGAGAATGGCAGGAGCTTCCCCCCTCGGGCGCGCAGCCAAAGCACGCTGGAAGGCTCATCTCGGAGGCCGGACGCTCAGAAGACGCGCCTTGTCGTTTTTATTTCGTCGGCAAGCTTCGGCATAATTTTCCTTCGGAGGCACTACACATGGCAGTGTTTTCGCTGCCGAGTCGATCCGCAATGTAGCCATGAAGCAACGCGTGGTATGATCGGTTCTAGTACCCCCACGACGGTGCGGTAATTATTTGAGCCTCTTCGTGGCTGCACCCAGATCCTCCCTCCGGAGGACCCGACCGAGCTGCAGGAGCTGGAGCAGTTGCTGGAGCAGCTGAGCGGAAGCTCGACCTCCCTGGGAGCGAGGCCGCCCGCCGGAGCTCCGGCAGCCAAGTCCCGGCCCACCTCCCCCGCCCTGAGGTGAGGGCCGGCTTTTCGATTGCCTTGGCAACGCGTCTTGATTCCTATTACCGCCGACGGCTTAAGAAACTCGTGGCATGGTGAGTTTCTTAAAGGGGGGTGCAACAATTTCCTGACTGCGGTCAAAAATTTGCAAGTTGCCTTCTGACACTTTTGAAGCAAAGAATAGAAAACCTATTTTAGCTATGTGTCCCAGTTGCCTTGTAAAAAAACCCCATAAATATTGGCATGTAGGTTCTCATGTGCTCTCTCGGAGGACGCTTCCTCTCTCTGCGTACATTAGCGAGCGTTATGCTGCACCTTACAGCCGAGGGAGGTCACGTAAGCTTCTTGCCGTAATTCCTTCGGCTGCCACTCGCAGCTGCAGGGGGGGAAAAAGCTAGGCTTGTGTTTTGCGATTATGCAGCGGAATTGCGACATTTTTTAATCAAGGACATCTTTTCTTTGTCCTCCGGGACACGATAAACAACCTAAAAATTACGCGATGCAAATTCTTTTAATCTTAAAATCATTGCACCCCTCCCCTTTAAATACACAAGTGCGAAAAACAAGGACAGAACAAAGATACGGAAAGGGCAAGCGCTTACCAGGGTGTCTAGCGGCCGGGAAAACCGGGAATTGTCGGGGATAGGGCTTCGGGACAGAAAAAATAGGCAATAAATTCTGCTTAGAGCGGAGCGTGGGCTCTGCTCAGCCGATGTAGAGTGTGCTACCCAATGCAGAGGGAACAGCCGCCAAATTCAGTCCAAGGCTTGGATTGGATTGGATTGAGGGCGTGACACTATGCTAGATCCAGTTAGAGCTACTACCGTATTTACTCGATTCTAAGCTCCCCCTTTTTTTCACACCCGCGATGTTCAAAGAGGGGGGGGGGGTGCTTAGATCCAGAACATGCCCCGAAAATACGAAATTTGCACAAGAAATATGAATTTATTATAATCAGAATGAAAGAATAAATGCTCTAAAGGAAATAAATAAAGTAAAGACTGGAGAGTAGCCCGCTTGCCATCAGTTTGCACCACGGTCGACTGGTCGCTCTCGCGACTAGTCTTTTGAGGATGATGTAGAGCGCAAGCTTCCGACCGTCGGCTGTGATGCACAGCATTATGGTCACCCTTTGCTTCTCATAGCCAGTCGTACGCACTTCTACTTCTCAGGCCAAGGACGTGCACCTACTTCGTTCACGTTGGATGTCCTTAGCATGTCGATGTACACAGGGGTCTCACTGCCCGAGTCCGTAGCGAGATTCGCAACGCAGCTTCATCACATAACGTTGGAAGTTGACAAGATTGTCCTCGAAGTCCACCGGTAGCTTCTGGCAGATACTGGTCCGGCGTCTCAAAGAGAAACCATTCCTCTTCAACATCCGCTCCACCCAGCCTCGGCTTGCGCGGAACGCCACACTCCGAACTGTTCAGCAGCGCTGTGATTTCCGTTGTCTTCTGCGTAAGAAATAACCATTCTTTTGAACTTCATCGTGTATGAAGTTCTCTTTGCACTCATGATGGACGACTTCCGCAAACCGACGAATAGGCTTAACAGACTAAACAACCGACTGCAATTGTGCAAGGAGACCAGACAGACCAAACATCTTCGACAGAGGGTTTGGCAATGCACCCTCTTTCGCAACCTGCACAGATGTGAAAGTGGAAAATGGCGGTATGTGCTGCCATCTATTAACTGATGTTGAAACCAAGCGCCAGTGGCCGTTCGCGACTCCGGCGCTCGGCGATACCGGTGTCTCCGATCTCAAATTTGTTGTTGGGAGGGGGGTGCTTACATTCACATGCAAACTTTTTTTCAGGTGTTTATGTTTGAAAGTGGGGGGGGGGGGGGGGTGCTTAGAATCGCGAAAATACGGTAGATTTAGTAACAAATAGGAAAGCCGCAGACCCCAATTTAATCCAAGCCTTAAGCGCAAGTACCCAGACGTGTGCATCTGGCAGGCATGCTGTCATTCGGTCATTGATGTGTGGGGTTGAGCTTCATGTTTTCATTGTGTTTCCGGAAGTGGCCTCTTCACTGACGATGTCGGCGGCAAGAAAGTGCTCGTTTAATCCGGAGTCTGAATATTTCGGAATATGCAAGTTGGATTAAGCCCGTGCAAAATGATCCTCACAATGCTCAATGCCTTTTGTTGTAATGGTCTTGTATATTTAGCCGCCTCTACAGTGAAATGTCAGGGAAAGCCTGGAAAAGTCAGGGAATTTCAAAATAATAATTTGCTAGACGCCCTTTTACTATCAACTGAGTGTTTATTGCGTGAAAAGAGAGACTGACGAAAATGATAAAGACAAAAATAAAATGCTAAAAGCATTTGCAAAAAAAAAAATTTTAAAAAGTTATTTAAAAGCTATATAAATAAAAAAAAATTAAAGTGAAAAGGAAAGAGAGAGATAGGAAGAATAAAGCAGCCGGATTAAGGAAGAACACTACCCAAAAAAATCAATTTCTGCAAAAGAAGTTGATTTTGGAAAATGCTGTATTTACATCCATCCACCAATATCTAGAGAGTATTCCCATTAAGTTTCATTAGTTTACACTACATAGTTATTGTTTTAATAATTATTTTCGGTTCATAGATGCTAAAGAAAAGGAGGAGGTTGGAGTACTTTGAACGCATTTTTCTTTGTTCCACCTTTTGGCGTAAATATCACTTTACGAGAACTATAGTTTGTTAATGGAACGAGAGGAAAGACTTGCTCATTTATTTTCTGAACTGAAATTTTATGGGCAATGCAACTGTGGAATTGTTTTTTGACTTTCTGGATATCTTATAAAAAATATTAAGATTTTGTCGACGACATAAAAGGCAAAAGATGTATTTGATTTTTCACCGCAATGTTATCGTAAAATAAATTACTTTTTGGAAATTTTGTTTTCAGAGTTGCTCTCTTCAGGCATTCTCCTGCAGATCTAGTGAAAAAAACATTGCATATTACAGTAGTTTTCCTAAATAAAGTCAATGTGTTCCTGATAAAAACAACTATAATTTCTTTTACAATTCATGTACATAGGTGAAACTTTGCACTGCAGTCTGCCTCGCAACTGCCAGTATATACTGTAAATTTCATTCATATTCAGTGAACGGTTCAAAAGTCGCTTGGGTAGTGCCCCCCTTAAAGGGATGGTGAACCGAAATTTGGATTTAAAAAGAAAAACAATGCAGGAGATGTAGGCGGGACGCTACAATCCCTACGACACTACTCGTAAGGCGATATCTCGAATGGACGGCCATATTTTTGGAAAACAAGGTCAAGATTGAACCAGGCCGACGAGGCGCGTGACGTGAAAATACCTCGTTTCCTCCTCTCTTCGCTTTGCCCTTTCAAGGCGGTGAGGTGGAGAAGGCGCGAGGCCGTTCCCCCTCCTTCTCGGAGAAACATGACGTGAACATTTCTGTCAAATGCGCCTCCTTTTTTGAAAAATATGGTCATGCGTTTGAGATATGACTGTATGAGTGATGTTTTGGTGTTTGTAGCATCCCGTTGGACGCTTTTGCCGTCGTGTTTTGTTGAATCCAGATTTCGGTTCAGCATCCCTTTTAGGGGGGACACTGGCTAGAGGTTGAACTTCTGAACTACTCAAGTGATCAGAATGAAATTTGCAGGGGAGATTTAACTTCAGATGTAGGCATACTGTGCAAACTTTCAGCTCGCTAGGACAACTTAACATACCTGCATAAGAAGATGTGTCACTCTTCGTTAAGAAATCTATGATATGCAAATGAAGCTGTTAAGCATCATTTTAATTGTTTAAATATAAAGTGGGGGATGTGGGACTTTGGGCTATCTAGTTTTTGTAACTCAAATGTAAATATTTCAGGAAGAGTGATTACCTCAACATATGAGATGCACATCTTTTCTATGTCAATTTTTGAAAACATGAAACAAAATAAAGCAGATAGGCCGATTCCCCAGTAGATTTCAGTTCAGAAACATCTTGATCGTGGTATCAGAATAATTTTACCTTCAAATAAAAGATTCCTTCGTATGAAATTTGCAGCAAAAAGTGAAACAGAAAAATGCATTCAAACATTGAACTCCTTTACTTCATTACTGCCTCATAATGTGTTGAAAATATTTGATATCAACGTAACTATTTGGCGCATGGTTATGAAATGTAGTGTAAGGCTGTATAATTAGTTTCTGAAACCGAAAACCTCAAAATTGAAAAATGAATATTTTCAAAAACTTCTGAAACCTAGGCCCATCGCCCCCCAAAAGGAAAGAAGGTTCTCCTTCTTGGTGAGTGATACAGTTGAACCTCGATCTGACGAAATTCGCGATTTAACAGCATTTTTTTGTCTCCCTATCTTGCTTCCAATGAATACAGTTTTATCTTTCGATTGAGCGTAGTCCTTTTGTGCTGCAGTTCTGATTTAACCGCGTCTTTGGAAATCGCGCACACATATCCAACAAGGTATCCCATTCACCAGGCAAAGGTGACCCCCACTTGGCTGCCGCCATGTTGTACAATCTTGATTACTAGACAAGTTACTGCACCAAGTCCTAAGGTTTTTACGCAAAACTGATTTGTACTGCGATCGATTGCTGTAAAAAACACGATAAACTATTTTTTCACTGCTGTTAACCCCAGAGATCAGTGGCTAGCTACGATAAAAACCCAAAATACAGCACCGCGGCTGACAGCATCTTGTGGAGGCATTATGAAGCTGCCCGTGTTTTTGTCGTAAAAGCACATTTTGGACTTAAAACAAACGAAACATAACTTATAGCGTCAGTACTGTTATTAAAGATCAACAAGCAATTATATGTGCACGGTACTTCGTTGAAATCTAGACATAAAACTATGAGGTCACGTGTCTAGTAGTAAAAAATGTGCAACATGGCGGCGGCCAATTGGGGGTCACTTTCAGCTGTTAGTTTATAGTACTAAGGCCCTCTACCTTGTTGTGCACATCAGCCTCTGCGCGGAAAAAAATTAACAGAAACAAACCTTACTGTTAAAATCCAAGCATAGAAATGTGCAATCATTATCTTTTTCACAAAATAAAAAAAAAAGTGATGATGATGATGAATAGCCTCCTAACCTCTGCCTCTCGTGAAAAAAAAATGTCCGCCATCACATACACTTATGCCCAGTGAACTAGAGCTCCTACGTGTCTACAACAAAAATTGTTTCGTTCCTCGAGTGTTGTGCTGGAAGTGGTTGTGTTCCTCTTGGAACAGTAAGTAGTATACTGCGCAAAAGGAAAGTTCTATCGCTTGGCATCAAGGCGAAAATGATAGCTAAAGTGACGAATGGCGAAAAGAAAAAAAAAAGTGAAAGCTGTTTACAACTCTGTAACGCTGAATTAGAGCGCAGCTCTTGAGGAGGAGGAGGAAAGGGTATTGGTCACGTGTTCTTGGGGGGCGTCACGTGACCTCGGGGGGGGGGGGGGGGGGGGGGTGGAGGTGGAGGGAGGGGGTCACATAATTTTTCCGCTAGATTTAGCGGGGAAATTTTTCTGCTAGATTTAGTGGCGAAATGTTTCTGCTATATTTAGCGGGGAAATTTTTCTGCTAGATCTAGCGGGGAAATTTTTCTGCTAGATCTAGCGGGGAAATTTTTCCGCTAAATTTAGCGGGGAAATTTTTCTGCTAGATTTAGTGGGGAAATTTTTCCGCTTATTTTGGGGGGAAATTTTTCTGCTAGATTTAGTGGTGAAATTTTTCCGCTAAAATTAGCGGGGAAATTTTTCTGCTAGATTTAGTGGTGAAATTTTTCCGCTAAATTTAGCGGGGAAATTTTTCTGCTAGATTTAGTGGTGAAATTTTTCCGCTAAATTTAGCGGGGAAATTTTTCTGCTAGATTTAGTGGCAAAATTTTTCCGCTATATTTGGCGGGGAAATTTTTCCGCTAGATTTAGCAGAAAAATTTTTCTGCTAGATTTAGCGGGGAATATTTTCTGCTAAATTTAGCGGGGAAATTTTTCTGCTAGATTTAGCGGGAAAAGTTTTTCGCTAAGTTTAGCGGGGAAATTTTTCCGCTTGATTTAACAGGGAAATTTTTCCTCTAGATTTATTGAGGAAATTTTTCCGCTAGATTTAGCGGGGAAATTTTTCTGCTAGATTTAGCGGGGAAATTTTTCCGCTAAATTTAGCGGCGAAATATTTCCGCTAGATTTAGCGGGGAAATTTTTCCGCTAGGTCTAGCGGGGAAATTTTTCCGCTAGATTTAGCGAGGAAATTTTTCCGCTAGATCTAGCGGGGAAATTTTTCTGCTAAATTTAGCGGGGAAATTTTTCTGCTAGATTTAGTGGCGAAATTTTTCCGCTATATAGACCCTTTTACAAATTCAGCGCCATCTACCGGAACGGTTGCAAAGCTTCACAGGTGGGCGTGGTGCGGCGTGCGTCCGCCATAAGCATGTATGGTCGCATCGGCGCTTGCTCAACGTGCGCTACACCACCGACACCACTGCGGCCACAGAAGGTGTTGCGCGGCTGATACTTCGCCACATGCTGCTTCTGCGATGCCTTTTCATTGCTGTGTGCCGCTGTGTAAGCAAAAAGGACTCAAGGATGCCTCTGGCTCGCGGTTGGGCGGTGCACACACGCGACCGCTGCGACAATCGAAACGGAAGAGATCCCACCAGATTAGTAGCATGGAATGATATAAGCCCTCTCGTGCTGCTTCTCAAGCGCTAGCGTGACGGAAGGGAGCATGCACCTGCAACTTTTCTTTTTGTAAACAGAAGCGATGTTGCTGGGCTTGGGGTATCGAGAGAATGTTAACATTCGGGCATTTCATGTGACCTCTCGCGAATTTGTATACTTTTTTTCTTTTAAAGTATCTTTGTTCGCCATCCCATCCGACCCCACTCTCCGAAAAAAATGGGTTGTTGCAATAAAACGTGACGAAGGCAAGCACTTCTCCATTACGAAGTACACTAAGATTTGCTCAGGACACTTTCGAGAGGGTGACTACATTCCGAACGTCGCTAGTAAACGTCGCTACCTCAGACAGGAAGCAGTGCCATGCATCTTCGCTTTGAACGTCGCGAAAAGGCCGCCCAGAAAGAAACCACGAGTACGACAGGCGCCGCCGTCAACGCCGAAGTTTTCCGCCGCTGATGCCGGAGTGACGAATGACGCAATCGCCGATCCGAGCAGTCAAGACGCGGTGAGCGAACCCGCTAGTGAAGAGGCAAGCTACGCATTCGCCAATCTGACCGGTGGACATGCGGCACCTGGGGCGTCGAGCCAGAAGAATGCAAGCGGCAAAATCGTCACTGTCAACGCTATGGAAGACTTCATTGCTGACTTCATGTGCCACGCAGTTGCAACTGAAGACCTCATAGTGAACGATTGTAACATCGACGACTGCGTTAATGCTGCCACAGGCACAGTCCTCGACCGGGCTGAAAGTCTGAAATGGGCGACAAACGTGTGGTCCACGAGACTGTTAGACTGCCAGCAGCAGCAGTGCTCGTACTCGCGATGCCGTACATGCTCATGGCGGCGTTGGCGGCGTCTCCCTCGTACAATGTGGCCAGCCGCACTTTTGAGCACTGTCAAGATGACAATGATGATAGCTATTGAAGTGGCCAGACTGAATTTCGGAAAGGGTCTATTTAGCAGGGAAATTTTTCCCCTAGATTTAGTGAGGAAATTTTTTCGCTAGATTTAGCGGGGAAATTTTTTCGCTAGATTTAGCGGGAAAATTTACCCATAATGCACCATGCGGTTACGGCGACGCCGCTCAAGCCGGAAACGGGCGCCTAAGAGCTGCGCTCTAAAAGACGGTTGTCGGGAAGTATGCAATTTCGTAGAGTTCTCGACGATTTTCAAGTTGAAAGACAGTATTATGGCTACCGTAAGTGCCAGTGGTTGCTTTCCCGACTGCACACTTTCCTGCGGTGCTTGACACTGCTGCCATAACCATACAAAATGAAGGTCAATGAACTGCATTCTTCTCTTACCGCCACATTTTGTAGTGGACTCTTCCTGCTAAACGCTCGCTCGGAAGAGGTGAGGTAATCAGAGGGTTTTGGGAGCCTAAAAAACCAGTTGCAATGCTAAAAAAAAAAGAAAAAAAAAAAAGAAAAGAAACCTTGATTCAACGATTTTCGCGATTTAACGAAACTTTCGACTCAAAAGACAACTTGGTTAAATCGAGGTGCAACTGTATTGATAGTGTGCTAATGCACGCATTTCCTTTTTTTTCCATTATGAATTTTGGCTCATAAGTTTCTCTGGCTCTTGCTCCGAAAGCGCTTTCGGTCTTTGTATTTAAGATGTTTACGCAACTAGCTCAACAGTTGATCTTAATATGTGGCGAGTTGCATGGCTCTCGTCATCACTCTGTAGCCAGCGAGACTGTGGCATTAGCTAACAAAAGGAAGCAAGAAGCGAGGACATACTAGCCCCGTGTTTCTTCAGTTGCCGACGACAGTGCTAGTGCGGGAAGAGCAGAAGGCGTGGCCTACGAGGCTGTCAACAGTCTTGGAGTAAAGCCCGTCATTTCCAAGGGTCGTCTAGTGACCGTCCAGAAAGCTGGTTACAATTCTGCTTGGAGTCGGAAAGTACGGTGTTTCTGTGGGATGACTAGGGTGCTGGAATCCGAAAGTTTCAATTTATAGCTCTGGCTCTTTGATTTATGGTACGCACAAACATTTTTTTTTTTGACGTCATGATGGCGCTTAAGACGAGGACAAAAGGGAGACTAGACAACACGGAGCGCTACTTCAACTGTTTATTTTTAAAAAAAAGGGGGAGGGGGACATATATACACTCAAGCCGCTTCACCTCAGCCAATCCCAGGCCTCACCGTCGCTCGCAGAAATGCTACCTCTTTGTCTAACAGGTCAATGGAGGCAACGTTGAAACACTGTGCTCCAGACTGTGTTATCAAGTCTGCTTCTATTATTTCACTGACCGTCTTATCCTTGTGTCTGACTAGAATCGCGCACGTGTTGAACAAGGGCCTGCATCCACAATCATGACCATGAACTGAATGATGACCGTCACAGTGGTTATTAAAATTCAAATTGTGCTCTCGTAACCTATCATTTAGGCATCTGCCTGTTTGCCCGATGTACTTTTTACCGCATGAGAACTGAATCACGTACACTACTCCCTCTGCGCAACCGACAAACGGGTTTCTATGCTTCTTGCTACAGCACAGGGGGCTTCCGCGAAAGGGGTTTGTTAATCTGCACAACCTGGAGCACAATGTGTCAGCATTGCCTTCATTGACCTGTTAGACAAAGAGATAGCATTTTTGCGAGTGACGGTGAGGCCTGGGATTGGCTGAGGTGAAGCGGTTTGAGTGTATATATGTTCCCCCCTTTTTTCAAAAATAAACAGTTGAAGTAGCGCTCCGTGTTGTCTAGTCTCCCTTTCGTCCTCGTCTTAAGCGCCATCATGACGTCAAATTCCCAGTACGAACTAGCCCAACAATCTGCATTGATTCATTTTTTTTTTGTTGACTTTAGAACTGTAGTTATATCTCAGTTGTACACCCGTGAGCAATATGAAGGTGAACAGCCCTCTTCTTGTTTTTGACGCTCCTGCAAGTTTTGGAACAAGCTCTGTTTCAGAAGAGGGCTAGAACGCAAAGTTTAGACCCCAAGCCACGTCCCATTTGAGACGTTAAGAATTAATATAGCTTTAGGGAGCCGTAAAGCAGGCAAGAAACCAGGTAAGGTGTTCACCTTCATATTGCCGGCGGGTGTGCCTTTAGGTATTGCCGGTAACTGAAGTAGAGGCTTTTGTTAGGAAATTTCTATTAATTTTTAATCTGAAGATGATTGCAACGTCCGTCTTTCGGGCTGCTGTCATTGTGCTTCTGGGGATGCTCTACTGGAACAGCAGTTTTCTTCTCAGCGGTCTTTGTCAATGATAGCCAGTCGATTCTATGCACCAAAATGGCTGTCGTTACTCCTAGATAAGCACAGCTGCTCTTGTCCCACGTATACAGCACGAGTGCCTGCTTGTGTTTGCAACAGGGGACCCTCGACAACACCCCCAGGCACGCCCCGCCCAACTCTGTCTCCTCCGGCGTTGCCGCCGTCTCCCAGTGATGCCACCTTTCCGGTTCCAATTGACGTGCAACCTGATGTGCAACCCGACGTGAAACCCGACGTGCAACCCGACGTGCAACCTGACGTGCAACCCGACGTGCAACTCGACGCGCAACCCGAGGCGCAGCCCGAGGCGCAGCCCGATGTGCAACTCAGAACCAGAGTGAGGCCTGGAAGAGTGGCTCCAGCCAGGCAGCACCGTCCACGTCCCCGGTGTTATCCCATCATCGACGTTGAGACTCAGCTGAGCATGGAGGAGCTACGCAGAAATGTGGATGACTGCCGGCTGACTGCAGAGCTCTGGAGAGACGTAAGGGGCCATTTTTGGCATCAGGGAGTCCAATGCACTGTCTGACAGAAGCTATGAACGCTATTTAGCAGAACCCTCTAATCCCAAAATCGGGTCCGTCCAGCCGTGCATATCCCCAATAAGTTTAGCGGGGAATTAAGGTCGCACAACGCCAATTTCCTCCTAAATGTACGTTACGTGAGGTCGTGGTATTACATGACACTGCCACTCTATGTGGTGACGTCACGTCACGCAATTACTCTGAGCAACGTCGGGTCTTGCGACGTCAATTTTTGTGCTAAATTTAGTGGAAATAATAATAAACAATTCAGCCGCTAACTTTAAAGGAGAAATTAATAAACAAATCTGTACTTTAGTTCCCAAAATGAGTGTTTAATGTCTTTCAAACAAATTAGACGATTGCTTTTGAAATACTGCGTTCTGTGCATTTTAAGACTTTGGTGATAAAGGCTGCTGATAATTTTTTTCTCTGATACCCGAGGAGTATCTTCGGGAGTTTTCTATTCTGCAAACACGAGTATTAACTGAATGAAGCACACTCAGTGCTGGTAACTTGCGGTAAATGGGGATTCACTTTTAAAGGGCAGTGCAACGGTTTTAATGTTGAAAGAATTGCGAGTTTGCATTTTTTATATTGTTTATACAAACCCAAGTGACCAAAAACGCGTCACCTTTCCCCAAAAAACGGCTATTCTGCTGCGTAATTGCAAGGCAAAAAATGAATTATTTGCCGATCTGCAGCCGCCTGTGGCGGCTACGGGAACTAAAATGACGGCGTCTCTGGGGGATACGCGGAAGTCAACAAACCCTGTCCCCCTCCGCTGCTACACTCGCCGTCAGCCCCGTGGCGAACCATCCTTTGTGTCCACTGCTCGCCGCGACCTTCGACGAGGCTAATCCTTTGAAAGTCGACAATCGCGGAGGAAGCGGCTGGGGTCTCTCAAGAGAGGGCCCAAGGGGAAACCAGGTGAACCCCCAGAGTACGTCACTCGAAAGTCGGCGTGGAGAGTTCAGAGGCACTTCGACCTTCGATTTGTTTCATTTTTTTAAGTAAGAACTAGCGCTCGCAAGAAAAATGTGGCTTTCGGTTTTTCGTTCCATAGGTGACTCAGATTACTTTCCTCAGTTAATTGGCCAAAGTCTGAAAATCATTGCACTGCCCCTTTAAGTTAAAAAATTCCGAGGACACCTAAGCATTTCTTATGAGTTGTGAATGTGAAAGCATGAATGTCGTTTTTCTGCTCTCTTAGTTTGTCTGCAGCGTAGTGGCGTGAACATTTCGCTACTGCAGAGGTTGCCGATGATACAGGTGCCTCAGGCGCCGAGAAGAGCAAAAGCGGCCGCAAGCCCCCCTTCTTTGGCAACACCTGCCACGAGAGCAGTGGCCGAGTGCGTGCTCTCGTCAAGCGGCGGCCAATGGCTATCTAGAAGCCGTTTTGCTCGGCCAATGGGAGAATGGGCATTTCTTTTGCGTTTTTTTTTGCAGTTACAGACGCCGCCAGCTCTGCTCCACGGGATAGTTGATGCTTTCGCATAAAAAAATTTGTCAGATTTCTCTCCTGACTACGGGCAGCCAAAAAGCACGGTTTCTTTTGGTTACTTATTTTCTTTCACTCTCTCCTCTCCCTCGAAGAAATAGCGAAAATTATAATCAACATTTTCGAGAAAGCTGTAGTAGGTCGGGTGCTTTAAATCTCAATCTTCAATATTCCTTTCTTTTTTGTGAACAAAATGTTTGATCATTAACTAGCCGGTAAAAGCTCATCGCAATGAATGAAACCATGAGACTGAAGAAGAATGAAAATCATACGAATCATGAATATGTTCTTTGGTGTGGTGTGGCAAAGCACAACCAAGAGGGTGGCCCGACACGTCGGACAGCAGTTTTCGGACATTGCGAGTGGAAAGGCAAACGCAACAGGCAGGAAATTAAGGCATATCCCCACAAGTACGCAACGGGAGCGGCTTTCACGACTGAACAGCCGGGAAAGTGTGTAGACCAAGACCGTATTCGCAATAAAACTTTGGTACTTGGTACATATTGATTAAAAGTTAAAAGGCGCAAACCGAAACAGAATGAGAAAAGACGCACATACGCGCAATAAGACCCTGTCGCGCGTTGCTGCTACCTTTTCACAGTTTCATCCAGTACTATCTCTTGGCTAAAATAGTATGAACTAAACAAAGCTAGTGAGAGTTAAAAACAAAGGGCCACGTAGGTGTACCCAGGAACGTTCAGAACCTTCTGTTTGTCCAGAACACTTTTTTTTTTTTCTAAAAGCAAGGGTCATGGGGAAGTGAATGTAACGGAAGGCAAGAAAAACAACATGATCGACAAAGCACAGTGATGCGATTGCTGTGCCAAATTGCGCCAAAGCGCTTACCATCCTACATCCTTCTACATTTCAACAAAATTTGAGGAATTTGCTCCAACATTGTATCAAAGGCAAAGTAATGGATGAGGCGTCACTACACTAGCTGCCAGTTGTTGTGAAAACCTTGCACAAATTTTTAAAATTCTGAGGTATAGCCTAGAGTAAAGTATGATTTGATATGATCTTTCTATCGAACACGACTCGGTCCTCGAAAGTTTGAGAACATTTCTAATTTCTTAGGGTTCTGTTTGGGTGGTTTAATTCTTTGTTGAGTGCGCTTGTCACTGTGCACCGGTCCACTGCAGGGATTTTGTTTAGGCCTCTTCGCTGCACTGGAGAATTATGTTAAAAGAACTGTCCGGTCAAATTTTGTGTTTGAGAAAGCAATGGAATATCATTGTTATTGCCTCGAAACGCATCATCCCTGCAATATCTGAATTTTCTATGCCCCTCTGCGTGAGTAACTGAATTTTAAACTGCTCCAATTGCATCCTAGCGTAAACAATGCTCTTGTTGGCAGCATGGAAGCTCTGACGTCACATAACGCAAAATGAGCATCCTCGTTGTTTGCCTGCTAGTGAATGCCACAGCGTGCTTCATTTTTGTTGTTGCACTCGACTTGTCTCGTGGATGGGTGAGATTTTTGTTGCGCGGTTGGGTGTCACAACCACCGGGCAGCACCCGCGAGCTAAGACATGTCGTTCCACAGTTTTCCGCGAGTCATGCAGTGACGAGGAAAATGAATCGTCGCCATGCGCAGGGAGCACTAAGTCTAAAACCAAGATCCCGCTTATCATTGCACTAAAAGAGAGCTACGTGCCGAGCTCTAAGCGGACAGAAGGCTCGTACCTCACCCAAATCGGACCAATTGGTTTGTTTATGCAGCGAAACCGAAACCAACAGCTAGGCCACCTTGAAACAATGTCAGAAGTTGCATTTAGCACGCATGCAGCCTGATTCTGTTTGACCCACGTGCGAAAATGGAGCGTGGCTACGATTCACCAAGCTCGTTTGAGTCAAGTGACGATTTAGAAATGTTGCATGCATTTTGAACGATTCGCCGTTTGCATTCAGTCCGCGGGCATCGCCTCCGAGGAAACGACCTACAGCCGCATCACCGATCTAGTGGATCTGCCGATGGGTGGACCCAGATGTCGCTTGGTGGACTTCGTGGATGCCACTTTAGAGGCCCACGCAGTTGCATTTGCGCGAAACAGCATACGTTCACTCAGAGCTAACGGCTGTTTTCGAGTAATATCCTGCCAAAAGGCGCAACTTTTTTGCACACGCTTGGAGACTGCATTACAAGAAACATATTCCAGTAGGGTACAGCCTAGGAGACTATATAATTCGAAACAAGATACGAGATGTCCGTTGACCGACTTGTCATCCCGACCATTCGACGATCCTTTGCATCGCGCGACGTCACGGAGCAGCTACAGACATCGGCCATTGACACTGGCGAAATTCAGGGTGCAGTTTCGTACACTTGCTCATGAAAGGTTTAATTATTATAGGGACATCATATATCGAAGTAAAAGTTATGTTTGTCTACTATATGAAGGCTCCCTCGACGTAACGAGCGCAAGAACTGAAGTACTTCCGGTTTTGACTGGACAATCCCTTTAAGGTGCAAAACACTCCTCCGGGGTGGAATTACGCAGAACCGTGCTTCGTGTAATAAAAAAAAATATAGGAAATAAAATATATGCTGAATGCTGATTGACAACATATACGTGGCAGTAAAATTTGCAAATAAAACTGTGGTCAGTTTATATAATGGATGGTGTAATTTTGAGAAGTTGCTTCCATCATTGGTCATAATTGTTTCTTTCTTTTTTTTTTGATTTTGAGTTTTACTTGAGGATATTTCCTACTTGGGTATTGGGAGAGGGTTAATAAATGACATTGATTAGGTATGGCTGGGCTGGGTCATTGGTTTAATTTTTATGTTTATTTATTCATTTACACAGCACCTACATCGCCACAGGGGCATTATTGTAGGGGGTACATGGTACAGGAAAGTAAAACGATTAGACGTCAAATTGTATCAAACATGCTCTTAAAAAGTAAGACCATTGATTGAAAGAAGTGCAATAAGACTGTTACAAAACTGTTACACAAAATCAGAAACATAACAGTACAAAACAAAAACTACAGCTCACCGCTATCAAAGGATGTCTAATAATGAGGGGGAAAGCATAGCATCCGAAGTCTCAGTGACCACGTGCTGCGGAAGACTTTTCCAATCACTAATTGATTTTGGGAAATATGAGTTCTTAAACATTTCAGTTCTACGCCTAATATTATTTATTTTTAGCAGGTGGTCCACTCCGCTGTTATACGTAACTAACATTAGTTACGTATAACAGCTCCTTAATATTTGTTGGGCCATTTTGATTTAAAATGTGGTTTGCGCCTTTGCTGTTATTGCGTCGACGTGCTTAGTCCAGGAAAGATAGCTGCTAAGATAAACCCCTAGATATTTGACATCAGCTACCTCCTGAAGGGCAACACCGTTCAACTGATATTTTGATAGATAAGGCTGCTTTTTTGGTGAATGTAACATAATTGCATTTATTGATATTAAGAAACATTTGCATTTGTCACATCAGGTCATCACTT